CCTCTATCAATTATTCATTTTCATATTTATTTTTTAAAGGAAACAACACAGGACCACTAGGCACTAGCCAACCGCCTCGACAATTGTCAATTACAAAGTCACTAATTAAAGTTGATTGGTCCCTATTAATTTAAGTACATACAAACTACTTTACTTTAATATTGTTCACCTCCAAAAAGACGAGTTGTTAACAGATTATGTCACGATTCCTTCCACTTATAAGTTACACACTAAGACATCACTAAAATGGAAGGTCATCTTATGTTGGCACTCCGATGTTCAAGTCAAACATGAATTTTGAGTATGAAAAAAATATATGAATGTAGATTTAATTGAATTTTTAGATATTATATACACTTTCTTTGTGCATAGTATGGGATTTGAATCAGGGATATTCTAGCTTTTTTAATACTCGACAGGTCGATTTGACCTTTGTCGATGGGTCGCCGGCCCTATAATTGTTACATCTTTAATTATGTATCTTTTGCCAAATATGGCACATGCGAGTGTTTCTCTCGACCATGGTACTCATGTATTAGGAATGTAAGATTATTTTTTGATCCAAAGTATGAGAGTGCCAGTAGATAATTTCTCTTTTGAGGAGATCTTGTGGAGAACCCACTGCCTCCATGACAGGTGTAGGAACAACTAGCATACGACCTTGTCTTAAAGTATTAGGTTCTAGGGTTCAATGATGAATCATCAAGGGTTGGTGCTGGTGACCGTTGATCCAATGGGATCTTTGCTTCATCCCAAGGCGAACTGTTGGAACTGATTTTATGCCTTCAGACGTGGTTTTGAGGCAGTGAGCTCAGGATTAGAGTTAGATGGTTGACTGCTTGAGGCTCTCCGTGGCTCTCAATGATGATGGCGACCTTGGCATTGGTTCAACTAAACTTATCCTCAATGCAGATATGGAGACTCTCCAAAGGATTGGATGGACGATCCTACATAGCATCCACCTGGAGAGCCGACGTGACAAATACAATAATCTGAGTCCATTGAATCATGCTATAGTTACATAATCATTGACATAATATCACATGATATTCTATCATTAATCGTTTTAAACGCAGTCAGCTTTTTCATCAAATAATTTGCTGGCACTTTGAATTTTGTCTTTGCATCCGTTAATTTTCTTCTGACAAAATGTCAAAATCCAATTCCATTAGGTGTAAACATTTTCTTGTTACAATAATCTTAACTTTGAACTTCGAAAGCAAGAATCGACTATCATCAAATAAAGCTTGTCTCACCCATTCAATTTGGCCAAGATTCAAATACTATTAAGAATGCATGATTATTAAAAAGAGTGGACAATGGAGGGTTGGAGGGAAGGGACAGAATATAAACGGCGCATGCTTGGTTTTGTCACATGGGGGCTGTCCTTTCTGCCTAATAACTAGTTGTTTTCAATATTTGGCAATTTTAAGAAGGCATTGGATCCATGTCCCGTTACCATCTACCTTTGCCTTTTTCGTACGTATCCCAACACAACGGTCTCCTTCTATATGTCTGTCCATCTCCTTCTATATGTCTGTCCACGAACTTTAAAGTTTAACCTTCAATTAACTAATACATCGTGTTAAGGTTTGTGTTCTATCTAAAAAGATCAACCTTATTAATAGGGGTATCTTAAACTCTTATAAATTGATCTATGTTTTCATCTTTATTCGACGTGAGATTCTATCCCTTAACATGCCCCCCACAAGATGGCGGCTCGTTTGAGCAGACCAATCTTAAAATTGGTGTGCTCAATTTTTTTTGAATCTTAATCTGATTGAATCACTCGTTGGAGTTTAACGGGCTCTGATGCCATGTTAAAGTTTGAGTTTCATCTTAAAATGTCAACCTTATTAAGAGGAGTAGTCTAAACCCTTATAAATTTGTTTATGTTTTCATCTTTATTCGATATGGGATTCTATCTCTTAACACAACGTCTAACAATTTGCTTTGCACAAACGGCTAGTATATCTATGTTAATGGCACACTTCTTTGTCTTTACTTTTGGGGTTTTCCTCCCCTTCTCTCTCTTGCATTATTTGTCATCAATCTAGTATATATCTATTAGACCAATGGAAACTTGGTCTTCAAAACTTCGAAAATAGTAATTTAGCGTGTTAATTTCTTTGAGTTTTATTCTTGTAAACGCATTGCAAAACTGAATGAGTCAATGCACACAATACTTAGTATCTATTTTTTACTGATATGATTCATTTGGATATCTAATTCTATTTACTAAAGTAACATTTTGGTTGCATTGCTTACGATCTTTGCAATTTTTGCTGAAAATTTAAGAAAAGAAATAAAGGATTGAACTATTTGATCCTGGACCATACAAAGCATGTAGGCTGATTCACTCTCACTTGACTCTCTGGCTGACTTGGAACATGTACACTTTACACGTTAGTGCTTTAGTAAATAAAGAGCCCGAATGTTGAACTTTATAAAATTAAGTCTTGCTCGTAACAAATTGACAAAAATTTAGACTATTTTCTGTTGTAATGACTTTCTTATATCCTGAAGTTAATGCAGAATTAATGGAGGTACATATGCATCAACAGACTTGGCATGGAGAAGAAAACAGATTCAGGAAAAACCAGTAGAACATGATTGATAACCAGCAAGGAAAAAAACAAAGTTAAAACAGGAAGAAATCCTATTCCCAGCCTTTATTTACCAAGACTAAACATGATTTACAAACTAGAAATTATCAGAAAGATTTTTTACCCAGATTTACAAGAGTTTTACCACTCTTCCTAATCT